CCCTTCTTTCTTTTCTCTCCAAAACTATTGAGCGTGCCGTCTTTAGCCAACTCTCTTGCTATCTCTCTCAGAATGACCTTCTTGATCCAAACCAGTCAGGTTTCAAGACTGGTCATTCAACTGAGACTGCTTTTCTCTGTGTCACAGAGGCTCTCCGCACTGCTAAAGCTAACTCTCTCTCCTCTGCTCTTGTCCTTCTAGACCTGTCTGCTGCCTTTGATACTGTGAACCATCAGATCCTCCTCTCCACCCTCTCCGAGCTGGGCATCTCCGGCGCGGCTCACTCTTGGATTGCATCCTACCTGACCGGTCGCTCCTACCAAGTGGCGTGGCGAGAAGCTGTCTCCGCACCACGTGCTCTCACCACTGGTGTCCCCCAGGGCTCAGTTCTAGGCCCTCTCCTATTCTCGCTATACACCAAGTCACTTGGCTCTGTCATATCCTCACATGGCCTCTCCTATCATTGCTACGCTGACGACACACAACTAATCTTCTCCTTTCCCCCTTCTGATAACCAGGTGGCGAATCGCATCTCTGCATGTCTGGCAGACATATCAGTATGGATGACGGATCACCACCTCAAGCTGAACCTCGGCAAGACGGAGCTGCTCTTCCTCCCGGGGAAGGACTGCCCGTTCCATGATCTCGCCATCACGGTTGACAACTCCGTTGTGTCCTCCTCCCAGAGTGCGAAGAGCCTTGGCGTGACCCTGGACAACACCCTGTCGTTCTCCGCTAACATCAAGGCGGTGACCCGATCCTGTAGGTTCATGCTCTACAACATTCGGAGAGTACGACCTTGCCTTACACAGGAAGCGGCACAGGTCCTAATCCAGGCACTTGTCATCTCCCGTCTGGATTACTGCAACTCGCTGTTGGCTGGGCTCCCTGCCTGTGCCATTAAACCCCTACAACTCATCCAGAATGCCGCAGCCCGTCTGGTGTTCAACCTTCCCAAGTTCTCTCACGTCACCCCGCTCCTCTGCACACTCCACTGGCTTCCAGTTGAAGCTCGCATCTGCTACAAGACCATGGTGCTTGCCTACGGAGCTGTGAGGGGAACGGCACCTCCGTACCTTCAGGCTCTGATCAGTCCCTACACCCAAACGAGGGCACTGCGTTCATCCACCTCTGGCCTGCTGGCTCCCCTACCCCTGCGGAAGCATAGTTCCCGCTCAGCCCAGTCAAAACTGTTCGCTGCTCTGGCACCCCAATGGTGGAACAAGCTCCCTCACGACGCCAGGACAGCGGAGTCACTCACCACCTTCCGGAGACATTTGAAACCCCACCTCTTTAAGGAATACCTGGGATAGGATAAAGTAATCCTTCTACCCCCCCCCCCCCCCCTTTACTCCAACCCCCCCCCCCCAAAAAAAAATAATAAAATAAATAAATAATAATAATAATAATAATATTTGTAAAGTGGTTATCCCACTGGCTATAAGGTGAATGCACCTATTTGTAAGTCGCTCTGGATAAGAGCGTCTGCTAAATGACGTAAATGTAAATGTAATAGTGGATTTGGTTCCCCCAAGTGATCTGTTAGATTGAGGTTGTCAGTGATTATTTAGTTCCTTTAGCTGGCATGCTCTTTGCCAAAGTACGGGAGGTTGTGGTTCTTCCGCAGGCTGACCATGAGGTTGTTTGGGTGTCAGGTGTTGATTTAGCTGATACGTTTCTCAATAAGCTGTGGGAGGGAGGAGATTCTTCCCAGTCACATGGTGATGCTAGTGAGGATCCGCTGGAAGACCCGGTCTGGGATTTGCGGGGCGACACTGCTGGGTTTTGTGATGAAAATCAGGAGCTTGAAGAAATTAGTTGAGTGGAAAAGCCAGATCCACCCGTGTTATCACTTCCTGTTGTCGAGGAGAGGTTAGTTCCGGCATGTTGTAGGCCAAGTGTGTCTCCTGTTAATTAAGGTGGAGGAAGGTGAGGAGGATATGGCTAACAGTTCCCCTTCCAGTGAGTGCTCAGGGCTGGAGAAAAGAGGCGTTTGGGAACATGATGGTGTTTCTAGTGAGTTGGCTGAAGTTGTGGCTGATGTTCACTTGTCCCTAGTGGTGGTTGCTTCAAGTCTTTTATAGCTGGCTACATATCAGATGGAGCTTGTTGTTTGTGACTGTCACGTCGTTTAAGGACGGGTCAGACCAAGGCGCAGCGTGAAATGCGCACATGTTTATTTAAATGATAAACACACGACAAAACAACAAACCAACGAAACATGAAGTCCTAAGGCTACACACAAAACAAGCCTACTCACGGAACAGGATCCCACAACTAACGAGTGCCAATAGGCTGCCTAAGTATGATCCCCAATCAGAGACAACGAGCGACAGCTGCCTCTGATTGGGAACCACACCGGCCAACATAGATCTACACATACTAGATCATACACATAGATATACACAACATAGAATATTCACACCCTGACTCAACATATAAGAGTGACAGTCAGGCATGACAGTACCCCCCCCCCCCAAAGGTGCAGACTCCGACCGCACAACCTTTACATAATAGGGTAGGGGCCGTGTGGGCATTCCGCCTCGGAGGCGGATGCGGCTCCGGGCGTGACGACCATATACTCTCCGCCTCCCTGTTGCGCCCCTGGTCTGGACTGGAGCAGCTGACCGGAGCTGGACCGGGGACCGGTGGAGCGGACTGCTCTGGCTCCGGAATGGAGCAGCTGACCGGAGCTGGACTGGACCCCGGTGGAGCGGACTGCTCTGGCTCCGGAGTGGAGCAGCTGACCGGTGCCGGATCAGGCACCGGTGGAACGGGCACGGGCCGTGCCGGACTGGACACACGCACCACTGGTCTGGTGCGAGGAGCAGGCACGGGCCGGGCCGGACTGACGACACGCACCGCTGGCTTGGTGCAAGGAACGGGCCGTGCCGGACTGGAGACACGCACCACTGGCTTTGTGCGAGGAGCAGGAACAGGCCGGACTGGGAACACGCACCACTGGCTTGGTGCGAGGAGCAGGCACGGGCCGGGCCGGACTGACGACACGCACCGCTGGCTTGGTGCAAGGAACGGGCCGTGCCGGACTGGAGACACGCACCACTGGCTTGGTGCGAGGAGCAGGAACAGGCCGGACTGGGAACACGCACCACTGGCTTGGTGCGGGGAGCAGGCACGGGCCGTTACGGGCTGGCGACACTCACCACTGGCTTGGTGCGGAGAGCAGGAACGGGCCGGGCCGGACTGTGGAGGCGGACTGGAGGTCTGGAGCGGAGAGCTGGCACAACCCATGGGCTGAGTGAATGGAGTTGGTCTCAGTTTATAAACAGAGGGGTTACAGGTTGTCCCTTGGTTTGGTCAAGTCAGAGACTTTTGTCAGGAAGAAATTGCATGATGGTTTTGGTTTTTGACAGGTTTCCGGTTTTGAAAATGGCTTTTTCTCAGAGTTGAGGGTTTCTGTAGTCAGGTTGTGTAACTGCAGCGCTAGTGTACATATTTTGTCTCTTCAGCTAAGGATGTTTTATGGAAAATAAATAGAAAAAAAAGTATAACAGTTTGGAATGTTCTTGAAAATATATATGGGTGACTGTGAGTTTTTTTATTTTCGTGTTGGGGAAGGTGTTATGGACTAGGTTAGGTAGTTTAGACAGCACACTACAGCTCACTACCACTTCCACACTCCATTCCTTGTCCAGGGGCTGAGCCTGGTTGAGAAGGAGACGGGTGCTGCTAATTAAGATGGTCAATCAGTGTCCCAGCTTGCAAGCCGTGAGGCTGCTGGTTGGTTTGATGGCCATGAGGGCTTTCATTTGTTTTTGAGTCTTTAGTTCCTGAGTCTTTTCCTTTTTGTACATATTTATGTTTCTTCACCATCTGAACAAACAATAATCTGCTTGGACTGGCCGACCAAGAGGTCAAGAGAGACAGAGCTGGCCCTAGACCAAGGTAAGGTTTCTATCTCCCTGGGCACCTAGGCGCATACACTGATTATTATTTCAGTTTTTATTTTCATTGTTTTTTATTAGTTTTTTCCTGTGAAGCACATTGTGTTGCATTCCATGTGTGAAATGTGCTGTATTAGTAAAGTTTGATTTGATTTCTCACAATAATGCACACATTAATTCAGGTTACAGACCATGTAACTAGGCCTAGGACCCCTAGACAAAGCGAGTGCAACAATATCCGTAGGCTAGTTATTGGGTTCGTAACACTATGTAGCAGGGGTTGGAACCGGTTCAGGGAACAGAACCCAAAACCAGAAAATAACAAAAGTGATCTATAATGTTCCGGAACAGCTAGCTAGCGTTGGTCCAATGTTAAGCCAACTCTCGGAAGTTAAGACATTCAAAGTTCCTTCATAGAAGCCGCTCTTCTGTAGGTATAATTCTGTAGACCTAATAACAAGATGCCCAGCGTTTCAAACTAAGCCGCCGCCTCCACCCTCTCTCGCTCTCCCCACTCGCAAAATTTCAGTCGCATCTCGCGCCCTACAATAGTCTGTCCAATACATGTAAACAATAGCTTTCCCGCTCCATAGCAAGCTGCTCTATCCTCACTGATTGGTGATGTAATTTTATGTCGAGCTAAATGTAAAAAATACGATTTCAGATGTTTTAAAAGGAACAGAAAGGAACAATATTAACCGTTACTTTTATTTGGTTTGAACCAGTTCAGATTTTTGCTGGTCAGAACAGTGGAACGGAATGGAAGAAATAATGGTTCTGTTCAGAACTAAATTATTGGAAAATGATTTAGGTTCGAACCTGAAATGTAGTGTTACCAGGGCCCATAGGGCTTTGGTCAAAACTAGTGTGCTATATAGGGAATAGGGTGCCAATTGGGGCACAAACACAGTGTACCAGTCTAATGATGTCACAAGTGTTAGCTTCTTTCATTAGATTTATGTTCCCACATGTTTTAACAAGCTGTCCTTATTCACACAGGTGAGTCACGTGACTCACACAAGTTGTAATAACTAAGTCAAACAATAGGCTTATCATACCTGAAATATCCATTGTTTTAGATAGGAGCGTCTTCTAATCTATCTCACAACAATCAGAGACACGGGTGCTCCAATCCCACCTGTGAACTCCTGTGACACTCTCCTCCACGATGCCCTTGATCATCTTGAATATGTTGGGGTATTTCTTATAGATCCAGTGGGTCAGGTCTCCCCCATCATCCAGGATCTGAGAAATACAGAGAAACCATCCATGACTGGATTCATCCGGATCATAGCTGTCTAATGTGAGAGCTAAACCTGTACTGTACCATATTAAGAGAGAGACAGGTAGGCCTGTACTGTACCATATTAAGAGGGAGACAGGTAGGCCTGTACTGTACCATATTAAGAGGGAGACAGGTAGGCCTGTACTGTACCATATTAAGAGAGAGACAGGTAGGCCTGTACTGTACCATATTAAGAGGGAGACAGGTAGGCCTGTACTGTACCATATTAAGAGGGAGACAGGTAGGCCTGTACTGTACCATATTAAGAGGGAGACAGGTAGGCCTGTACTGTACCATATTAAGAGGGAGACAGGTAGGCCTGTACTGTACCATATTGGGCTGCCAGGCCTCCAGGCTGACACAGCGGTCAATACACCACCAGAAGTCGTCCTCCGACTCCCCCTTCCACGCAAACACAGGGAAGCCTGTGAGAGACAGAATAAGAGAGAGGGAGAGGGCAAGAGTTTCTTGTATTTCCATAGATTACCACGTTTGAGAGATGATGAAAAAAGTGAGGGACTTTGGGGGTAAAAAAGTGAAAAGAGAGCTGAGAAGACAGTGGTGACAGAGGAGAGAGCGAGAATAATACTGTGTGTCTCTCACCTCCCTCAGCCAGAGCTGCAGCTGCAGCGTTCTGGGTGGAGTAGATGTTACAGGCTGCCCAGCGACACTGAGCCCCCAACGCAGACAGTCTCCATCAACACCTACAGGAACATACACGTATACACACACACACATGCACGCACACAAACACACACGCATTCACGCACGCACGCAAATACACACAGTCCAATTTCAGTTTGCGTGTGTGTGTGCTTACGTGATTCAGTGTCTTTTTGTGTGTGCATGTGTGTGTGCATGCATTCTCACGGCTGTGTGAGCGGTGATGTGAGTGCAGCCCACTACTTTAGCTCCAGCCAGCGGCTTCTCTCCCTCTGCTCTCTTTCTCAGGGCCATCAGAGCTGGCATCTCTACACAGACAGAGATAGATGAGGGAGAAGGAGTGGGAGGGAGGAACAAAGAGGGAAAGAAAGGGGAGAGAACTAGACACACCTTGAGTCATGTTTCTACCTTCTCTCTTACCTTATTCTTTGACACACACACACGCTCTTAGAAAAAATTTGCTATCTAGAACCTAAAAGGGTTCTTTGGCTGTACCAATAGAAAAACCCTTTGACGAACCCTTTTTGGTTCCAGGTAGATCCCTTTCGGTTCCACGTAGAATCCTTTTGGGTTACATGTAGAAACCTTTCCACAGAGGGTTATACATGGAACCCAAAAGGGTTCTACCTGGAACCAAAAAGGTTTCTCCTATGGGGACAGCCGAAGAACCCCTTTTGAACCCCTTTTTTCTAAGAGCACACACCTCTTCCATTCCCTCTCACCTTGCTCAGCGATCTCTATCTCCCTGCGTCCGAAGTCGGCCTGTCTGATGTTCTTGATGCAGAAGTCTTGATGTCCCTTAGAGCTCCTCTGCTGCCTGTCTCTAGGAGACTTCACATCCTCTGAACAGTCTGTGTACGACGCAGCTAAGGGTGTGTGTTTGTGTGTGTGAGGGGTTGACAGAGTAATCAACATCAGGCACAATGAAACAGTATAATAATAATATAATATGCCATTTAGCAGACGCTTTTATCCAAAGCGACTTACAGTCATGTGTGCATACATTTTTACGTATGGGTGGTCCCGGGGATCGAACCAACTTCCCTGGCGTTACAAGCGCCATGCTCTACCAATTGAGCTACAGAGCAAGATAAAACATCTAGGGTCAATTGAAATCTCCCATTGGACCAATAGTCAAAAGGTAACAGGTTACAACTGTTATCAGCAAAAGTAGAGAAGCAAAATCAACCGTTATTTATACCTTCCAATGGATTGTAAATATGGAAACGGCTACAATACTATGGATCAGCTGGGGGTTTTCAGACAGCTTGTTGTGTTTGTCTGAGGTTTAACTACATGCTACGTACAGTCTGGATTACTGCTCTCTCTCTCTCTCTCTCTCTCTCTCTCTCTCTCTCTCTCTCTCTCTCTCTCTCTCTCTCTCTCTCTCTCTCTCTCTCTCTCTCTCTCTCTCTCTCTCTCTCTCTCTATCTATCTGAGAACAGCTAACTCAGGGGACAGATAAGGAGTAAATGAAACAGAGGCAATTCCTCTGAAGACTGTCTCTCAACTGAAAGTTTGGCTGAGGTTGAAAGACTCTAAACTTATCTCTCTGTAACCAACCCGCTGTTCCCCAGCCGCTGGGACAACAGCCAGACATGGGCAGCTATACAGTGAGAGACAAAACACACCGTGCCGACCAAGCAGGTGTGTGTGTACCTGAGCTGTAGTTATCTGTGGAGGACTGGTAGAGAGAATGGTACAGGGAGCGACGACCGGCCTTATTGAGACGCTTGTTAAAATCCTGCTTCTGATCAGCAAACTGGATTTGCTGTGGAGAAAGAGGGAGGGGGAGAGAGTTACTTTTGAGAAAAGCGAAACAGACCAGGTCAGACGGACACCAGGGTTACATCCACCACAATGTCCAAGGCATTATATAAACGTTATTTACTCCACATAAGGAACAAAACACACAAAGACATAGATGCAGGAAAGTTGGTCCTCTTATCAAGAGGCTCACATTGTTCTCTCACTCACATCATAGCTAACACTTGCACACCTTCTCCCTCTCCCTAACACACTCTCCATAACATGCTCACCCACTCTCATTCTCTTTACTTTCTCCATGTTTCTCTCACTTTCCAAAGCTCCCTTTTTCTCTCCATCCCTCTTTCCCCCTCTCTGTCTCACCATCCAGTTTGGTGGTTGGAAGGCAGGGCTGGTGGAAGGTTCCCACTTAGCCATGCCTGCTGTTTGCTCCCTCTGTCACAGTCTCTGCTTCTTTTACCCTCTCAGCCTAGTTTAGTTCAGTCAGGTACAGTCCAGTCTGCCCCAGTCTCTGCCTCTTATTCCCACTTAGTCCAGCATAGTGTTAGGCCGTGGGTACACCCCTCGTCTCACGCGGTCTGAGTGGAGCTGAGTTGGCAGCTCTTAACACCTATTTAGGTTATTTTGGGCGGTTCTGGACCGGTTCCGACTGACATTCGTGCTCTATAGTGCCAGAAATCCCCATCTGTCTGCTCTGCGCTACCACTCTCTCAGCGGAGCTGACTTGAAGTGTCAGGTTTCAGATCCAACATTTGCATAGGAAGTGAAGTGTCAAATTTTCTGACCAATCCAGATGAATAATTGACTTGCTCTTCCTTTGAGCGATGGGCCCAGCCAGCATATGAAAGGTGACAGTCTAGTGGATCCAACAGTTGTGGTTTGATCTCGATGTGATATTCTCAGCAGGATTTAACGCTCTCAACATGAAAAAATACAATCATTTCATAGAATGGAAACAAGACCAGTTTCTCTTGGTCATAGACGGATAAAATCACGTTGTGCTTAAAGCAGAGGTTGTATCGAGTCTGCATACATTTGAATGGTGTCTCTGCACTGCTCAGTGGACGTTTAGGATAAATGTCTCTGTCATCACATGAAATGGTGCCAATATTGTACTGTCACTGTATGATCATTTTTATTTTACAGTTATAAGAAAGGTGAAATCCTATATAATTCTGTTGTTGCTATATTTGGAAAGCATTTGTCATTTAAAGCCCTATTGCCCCACTTTTGTTGAATAGGAAATAAATCATGTTTTGTCATATTTTCATAATATTTGTACTATGTACTTGAGCTTGTGTCCTCAAAAGTGAGTACACCTCACCAATATGTGAGTATACTGTACCTCAGCAATTTAAACTTTCAGAGAGTTCTAAAAGTTCCAGACCATTCTAAACCTATGCAACATTACCAGTTATTGTTTATGGCCATCATATTTAGGTGGAAATTTAAATGTTGCTCTATCATTCAAGAGGATTAGCCGATAAGAGTCATAGGTCAGTCAGAAGTCTGTGGCATTGAATTCCTGACTTGAGATCACCGACACCGGGCCGTGTTCTATTTCTACCGTTAGCCCCCATCCCCTAGCCCAGGGCTATTTAAACCTTGAGGTTTGCAGCACTGCTGGTTTCATCCTTCCCATCTAATCTGGGACTGTTGCCGAATTTGATTTGTAGCCACTTTCCATTTCTACCCATAGTCCCTTTCCCTTAACCAGACTATCATTTGGGGATGACTGTACCATACTACTTATTTTGATCAGAAACATACCCTGCCTGGATCACCCTCAATCACCCTCCAATGGTTAAATGGTGGATCATAAGACACATAAAGGCCATGTGTGCTGCTCAGGATCAAACTGTCCACTTACTACCTCGTTAAGAGCAATTCACCTAACAGTGTTTTGTTTACAAGCTGTGGGGGAATCTGCCCTATCTGTCCTATGTGATCCCTTCAGGTGTGAATTCGTCAGCAGGGTAGAACCTTGGAAGGAGGGGATGGGATTCGGAGGTATAACACTGTACACACTGTAGAAAGACTGTACAACTCACTGATGTCCCGTACCAACCTGACCCATAAGGCTCTCTTCCTATGTAGACACTGCGGCTGTTGAAAGAGACTACATACTCAATCACTGACTTGTTCACATTGAACAGAAAGATATACAGTTGAAGTCGGAAGTTTACATACACTTAGGTTGGAGTCATTAAAACTTGTTTTTCAACCACTCCACACATTTATTTTTAACAAACTATAGTTTTGGCAAGTCGGTTAGGACATCTACTTTGTGCATGACACAAGTAATTTTTCCAACAATTGTTTACAGACAGATTATTTCACTTATAATTCACTGTATCACAATTCCAGTGGGTCAGAAGTTTACATACACTAAGTTGACTGTGCCTTTAAACAGCTTGGAAAATTCCAGAAAATGATGTCATGGCTTTAGAAGCTTCTGATAGGCTAATTGACATAATTTGAGTCAATTGGCGGTGTACCTGTGGATGTATTTCAAGGCCTACCATCAAAATCAGTGCCTCTTTGCTTGACATCATGGGAAAATCTAAAGAAATCAGCCAAGACCTCAGAAAAAAAATTGTAGACCTCCACAAGTCTGGTTCATACTTGGGAGCAATTTCCAAATGCCTGAAGGTACCATGTTCATCTGTACAAACAATAGTACGCAAGTATAAACACCATGGGACCACGCAGCCGTCATACTGCTCAGGAAGGAGACGCGTTCTGTCTCCTAGAGATGAACGTACTTTGGTGCGAAAAGTGCAAATCAATCCCAGAACAACAGCAAAGGACCTTGTGAAGATGCTGGAGGAAGCAGGTACAAAAGTATCTATATCCACAGTAAAACGAGTCCTATATCGACATAACCTGAAAGGCCGCTCAGCAAGGAAGAAGCCACTGCTCTAAACCGCCATAAAAAATACAGACTACGGTTTGCAAATGCACATGGGGACAAAGATCTTACTTTTTGGAGAAA